CTAAGATACTCATGTAATGGTACAAGATCCCAATGATGAATGTAACTGTATTTTATACCTAAAAGTGTATGTAATGTATATGATATTATTTGTTTGATTTTTTTATTAGGCTGAGTATACATTCTTATTTTTCTCTGGTGTAACGTAAGCTGGCTGGTGGAAGAGTAACTCTTATTCAGATAGCCTCTTTAATTAGTAAGCTTTGAATGTTTGTTTTTGCTTTTTTGGATACTGGGGATCAAACTTGGGACCTTGAACTTGGGAGGCAGGCAGCAGATTCACTGAGCTAAATCCCCGGCCCAGTAAGCTTTGAAAATATTGTTTCTAGGGCCAGGGATATTTCTCAGTGGCACCGTGCCTGCCTCGCAAGTGCAAGGTCCTGAGTTCAAATCAGTACTGGGGCAGGGTATTGTTTCTGCTTTAGTAGGGGAATATTTTCTGTTTCAGATCTCATTATATAATGTTGCTTTTTCTGTTTTGATTTTTTTTTCTTGTTTTTTTTTTTCTTTTTTTTTGGTATCGGGATCCAACTCAGGACCTTGTGCTTGCGAGGCAGTTGGCAACACCACAGAGCTAAATCCCCAGCTCATTTTGTTTAAGTTTTAGGTTAAGATAGATATTGAGATAGACAAAATGTTAAGGAAAAAATTATGCATTACTTTGTAAAAATCTGTATTAACAATCGTATTTTTTGTAATTCTCTGAGTTTCAGTGGAAGATTTGGGGAAAGCAGGATGTTCATTTCCCTTCTTCCTAAGCTTAGTTTAGATATGAAGTAATCTTTTGTGTAATCTTTTTATGTAATCTTTGTATGTTGCCTCAGGCATAAAGACTATATGCCTTTAAACAGCTACTTGGGAGACTGAGGCAGGAGGGCTGCAAGTTTGAGGCCAGGCTGGGCAACTTAGCAAGATCCTATCTTAAAATAAAATTTAAAAAAATTCCTCCAAGTGTATTCAGTATTTTTTCTCAATTAGCAAATAATTCCATTTTAAAACAGTAAATATAACAGTATTATTTTGACAGGTAATTTAAATTTCATTGAGGTAAATCAGATTTTTTGAGCTTGTTTATGTTGTTAACATGGTGCCTGAATTTGTGGATGAGATCACTTTAATAACATGTTTTATTGGCCTTTGAAAATGTGTGTGTTATTTCAAGATATTAAACATTCCTAATTTAAACTATTATATGTATGAAACAATTTTAGGAAAACCAAATATAATGGTGTCATTGAATTCTGAAAAGTGCTTTTTTCCTTCCCCAGGGTCCTGGAATAGGAAATGCCTCTCTCTCTACTTTTGGTTTTGTGGGAGCTGCACTTGAAATCATTTTGATTTTGTATCCTTCCTTTGACTGAATGTTCTGTCTGTTAACAAGTTTTCTGTCTAGTTTCTGGGACAGTGGTAATTTACTAAGACACTTGTCTAGAAGGAAAAACAAGTCAGTCTTCTTCAAGCACTCAGAGTGGCTTTTTGTTTTGTTTTGTTTTTTCTGTGAGTCCTACGACTTTTGGGAGGCTGCTGAAAATCTACGGAAACTTGCATTCTTTTGGAGAGTTTTTCCTTCATTCTCACAGCTATCTTATGGTGTCTTCCGTTGTTGGTTTCTATAGCCTCCGATTTTTTGGAAACTTTACACCCAAGAAGGATGACACAACCATGACAAAGGTAAGGTAAAGTCTTAGGTGACTACAGCCTCTCTTTTTGCTTTCCAAGACAAATGGACTGTTTTATTTAGTAATCTCTCTGAATGGTCATCTGTTGTGATTGATATTTGTTTGTAAGTTGCGTAAACACAAACTGAAAGATTTTCAAAATGCTGAACGAGTGGGAAAAGGATGTGCTCTGTTTAATTTGGAAGGCGTCCATTCACTTGTAAATGTATAGAACTGCAGAGCTTGTTAACCAGCTATAGAAGGCTCCTGAAAGGACTCTTTTTCCTCTAAAGAAAACGTATTGCTAATGAGTAACTTTGATTGTACTAACTGTACATCAGGGGGCTTGTTTGAAATCTGAAGAACTTAGTTGCTACAAGTAGTAGAGACAAAGTATTTCAAATTTGAATAATTAAAGTAAGACAGAAGAGTTCTATTCAGAAACATTTCACTGTCTGAGGCTAATTTGACTTTCTACACTATGTTCATTGGCTTCAGAATAACACAGACTGTTATCTTATATAGTGACTGAATCTTTGTAAAACATTCCCACATGCTGACAAAGAAGAATGACTAAAAGCTGCTGTATTTAAAAAAATTTATACATACCATATTTTTAACCAATTTAAAGGGGAGAAGTTTTTATATATAGTGCTTATGACTTCTTTGAAGTCAGTACATAGTTGAGGTATTAGTATCTAGTGTAAGCAATTATATGTATTAGTATTTTCAGCTCCTGTTATTTAATATGAAAGAATAAACCTAAGATACATTGAAAAAGAATTACTAGAGTTTAGATGTTTAGATTTCCAGCATTTAAGCTAAATCTTACAATAGTTTTTAGAAATAGGTATTTGAGAACTTTACCAGTAATCAGGCTTTAAAAATATAGTCAGAATATTAAATGTGGTAATTGTTTTATTTGACAGGTAAAACTTTTTGAAATTGATAACCATATCAATAATGTCAAATGCATTATCTAAGTATTCTATAACTTTATATTTGTAGACTGTAAATATTTTCTAGAAATCACAGATATAACTATATTTGTAGAAAAAGTTTATTATTTTTTAAACATTTTATATTGAACATTAAGTATCATTAAGAAGTTGGCAAAGTTCGATAGGTAACTGTGCTCCACAATAACTTCCCAGAATGGTAATGGCTTTGTGATGTCTTCTGTTTCATTGCCCCATATTCTTTCTGATTTCTCTCAACAGATCATTGGGAATTGTGTATCAATCTTGGTCTTGAGCTCTGCTCTGCCTGTGATGTCTAGAACACTGGGTAAGTGCACATGAGGAACGTTCATTTAAAATCTCATCTTTTAAAGATGTCTTTACCAACCTCTCTATCTCTTACTGTCTAAACTCCTTCAAAAAGATCAATTTGAAAATATAGTGTTTCTTCCCACATCTTATTATACCTTTAGTCTTGTGTATAGGATTGTGTATGTAAATGGGCCTTTAGTCCATTTATGTATAGGCCCATACTAACACAAGTACTTTTGTCAAATAAAGACCTTCTTTTTGTCAACACTTAAAACATTCTTTCTCCAAACAATAGACTGGGTTTTTGTGTTTGCTTTTTTCACCACATTCACAAGTTAAGCTTTTAAGTCTTCTAATGCGGAAACTGTGGCTTTATAGAAAAAGTCTAGAAAATATTAAACTAATTTTTATTATATGAACTGTCTTTTCAAAGGTTAAAATTTTGTGTGTTGTTTTAAAAACTGAAAATCTGTAATCTCAGAGGACGCCTTTCTATCCTTCAGTCTCCATGGCCTGGTAGTCATACTGTTTCCTCCATTTGTCAGCATGCCAAAGATTTTGGTCATCTTTTCAAAGTAAAACAGATTCCCACTTTGTCTCCGGAATAGTCGAGAAAGTCTTCATTTGGCTTTTTTATCTTTACAAATATGTTCTGCTCTTGGCTAAATATTATTTCAGATAAAAATTTCTGTTCTATCTGACTCTCTACACTTAGGCTTTAGCTTAAGAAATTAATAATTAGAAAGATGATCAGAAAAATTGCATCAGTAAAGCTGAGGACCTTGCTCCGAGGAGCAGTTGCAGTGCCATTGAGTTGCTCCTGCTTTTGCTCTCCTGTTGCCTCTGTTACTCATTCAGAACTCAGAGCCATCAGCGTGCAGTGCAAAGAATTTCATGTTTCAGTAGAAAGTGGAATTAAAGTTAAGTGCAAAAGGAACTCTTATTCCACAGGCTGATCCAAACCCCTCATATTTAGTGGTCTTCTTATGTGTTTGCTCTTTGGGCTTGTTATTGATTTGATATCTGCTTATGGTGTGCTAATCTTGAAAATGACAAAAATGTGCACATTGGTAACCTGATTGGATGTAAACATTATCATATGTGTTACGATCGTCCATTGGATAGTTAGTGATAAGACAGCTACTCTACCATTTTAACATTTAGGAAACTTATTTATTGTGCTCTGTTATTGAAGATGAATTGCTAATATGTACTGATTTTATGGCAGAAAATTACATGCTGAACATAGTTTTAATACAAAGAAGAAAAATTAAAGGTAAAATTTACTTTTTGAAGGCTGACAAATTAAATTCCTAAGCAGTTTGCCATAGAGATAAATAAAAAGAAAAAAAGAAAGAAAGATGGAACAATTAAAATGCAGCTAACAAATGCCTGGACCCAGCTGTCCAAACAGGATTAATGGAGTGCATTAGGGTACAGTGAGTCATGTGGTGCTTTGCAAAATATCAACATGCACTGCAGTACATGTTATGCCCAGTGGCATTGAATAGATGAAAAGAAATAAATACGTTAAACAGATTCATAGAGGCTTTTCATAGTATTAAAAAAGCAAATTTCTAGCCTAAAGATAAAGCTTTATTTTAGTATTATGGGAAATGCAAACTAGAGAGTTACTTTGTAATTCCTCTATTAACCCTTTGGAATTGAGTCTTTGATTTTAAGAAGGTAAAATATAGAGAATTGTCATGAATATTATCTTAGTGTATAGCAGGATTTTGATTTACTAGCTGAAAAGCTTGTAAGACTGGAATAGAGAATGTGTTTAACAACCAAATTCCTAGCTGTGAACATTTGCACTCTTTTTCCGCCCCTCTCACAGGGAAATCTGACCTTAGCGTGGTCTCGTTTGCTCATGTGAGATCAGCCAGCAGCAGCTCATCACTTAGGCAAAGTAAGGCAGTAACAAGAAAAATCATACTTTAACTGTGCATATGCAGAGGTTCTCTTACTTTAATGATTTTTCAGTGAAGACTAATTTTGACTATAAATTAAAAATGCTTTCAGTATAATTAATTTGGTGATATTTTTGCTTCAAAAATCAAAATGTTCCGTGGGTTTTTTCTTTTTAAAAATTTGCCAGCTGTTATTAGTGATGTATCACAGGCATTACAAACTTTAGCTTTAGGTTTATGTGCATGATGTTATATAATACATCATTAAAGAATTCCCTTTAAATAGCTCGTTACATTTGAATGTAGAAATTTTTATACTAATTAAAAAAAGCACTAAATAAATTGTGTATATTTACCATATTTCTTACTACAAAGAATGAAGTTGTGAAGAATATTTTGACCAAGTATTTTTAGTCAGACAAAATGAATGTACATCACAGTGTTACTGTTCATAGAAAGCACAGAGAAACTATTCTTAAAATTTTTTATTAGAACCCTTTAAAGCCCGTTAAAGTGTGCCGTGCCATACTTCAGAACATTATTTTGTTTCAAGTTTAGACTTTATTTTGAAGAGTCCACATTTTGGAGGATTTGAAGTTCGTATTTTTAGAAAACAATTGACTGTTTAGTTTATTAGACTTTTAAGAGATGCAGAGATGCTTGCAAAAAGGGTGAAAATAGAACAGGACCAAAGTAGTCATCTGTGGATGTCCAGATAGGGATGCAAATGGATGTCCATTTTGTGGATACAAAATGTTTACAATGTTGCAATGAATTTTTAATGATTTTATATAACTGCTAATATTGCTCTTTACTGTGCTTAATCAAGAAAATAATGAGAAGTTGACTTTTTTTTCTGTTTGTCTTCATTTGAAATCTCCTTTAACCAAATGTGATTTATTTTTCAAATGTAAACAACAATTTTTGATATTCTTTTACTAATTTCTTTTTTAAAGGTATTTTTTATGAAAGTTCTTTCTGTAACTTCTGTAAGTTATATAAGGTCTAAATTTAGATTTTTTTTTTTAAAAAGTATGTTTATAATATTAAAAATACCCTTTTAAATTAACTTGACTTTATTTTCAGTATTTCCACGCATTTCTCAGTTTGGTCCCATGCAGCCTGTCATCTTGCATGAGATAAGATGGATTATTCTCTTTTGTTCCATGATTAAAGGATCTTGATAAAACTGGTTTTTTTTTTTTCTCTTTTTGGAGAGGCCTTGAGTTGGGGTTTTGTAAGTATATCACTAAGCTTTACCCTGGGCTTTCCCTTTCTGTTTCTAGTTGTAAAACAGAAATAAATGATGCTTTCACAGATGATTAACAATGTCAAATGTGCAGTAGAAATATAAATGATGTTTTCAATTATGATATCGATGGAAAAGTAATTTGAAAACCCATATTGAAAATTTCTCAGCAAAAAATTAGGTATGACTTAATTATATTCAGATGTATTACAGAAAATAGTAAGTTAATTAACTTTTGATTGACCAATCCTATATCTGAACAATAAAATTTGTGTATCTAGTTAGGACTTTTAAGAGTGAAGAATTCTTAAAAGTATTCTTTGACTTCAGTAGGTCAGAGAGGCACTAATAACTGCCTAGAAACTCCTCACTGTCTCTTTTTCTTGTGCTTCTGGTGCTGTACCTGTTTTAGGGAGATGTAAGCCTGCCGAGAAAATGTCACATTGGTTACATGGATCTAAATTTAACCATCTACACATACCTTAAATTTAGTTTGTTATTAAATAACTTTCATGTAAAAAGAATTACAGTTGGATTATTTAACCAGAAGAAACCGCAAGAGGGCATTTTTTGTTTGTTTGGTTGGTTGGCTTTTGAAACTACTAAGAAGTTCAGGCTGGCCTTGAACTCACTATTTAGCCCAGGTTGGCTTCCAATTTAAAGTGATCCTCCTGCCTCACCCTCCTGAGCACTGGGATTATAGGCGTGTGCCACCATGCCCAGCTCCTAAGAGGCCATTTTGTAAATGGTGCAGTTAAAATGTTAAAATTACAACTAAACAGTAATAGGAAAGGCCTAATTCATCCTAAGAATAAAGGCCCCTAGCTTGAGTATTTTTTTTCCTTAAATTCTTTTATTGGTACAATGTAGGTATACAATACATTTACATTTATCATTGGGTGTTTGTACCTGTACATGATGTATCTTGGTTCTTATTTTTTCCCCATTACCTGTGTGCCCTTCACCCC